CTCCTCACGTTCTGTAATGCAACTAACTCCTTGTGCGGTGCGCCCTCTGGGCACAAATCGCCGCAATCACCGAGGAGACCAAAACACGTGTGTTACCTTCATTTATTAAATATCATGTTCTATGCACTTAAACTATAAAATTCAGTTCAAGAGCAATATCACAAAAAATTTTAAATTGAGCATATTTTTAGAATTTACGATACAAAGTCTCCGGCGCTGGAGATAATTTTGTGTGTGTGTGTGTGTGTGTGTGCAACGTTCCCATTGCTCAGTTTGAAATCCTTGAGTTTGTTAATCAGAAATTCATTATAAAGTTTTGCAAAATATGAAATCGATAATAAAACAAATTCCAAATTTGAAATTTGGGCTTCCGGATGCCCATATTCGCATGAGGATTGCATCATTCAAAATTGGATGACTCTAGGTACAGTAGTTTTATCACAATGTGAGAAACATACATACATTTATGCAGATTCTTCATTATTTAATTTCTTCACATATAACACAGGGCGATAATATTGGATGGCAACAGTTTGAACGGACATTCAGAGTGATTTGACGCAAAATCCCGAAACAAAAACAATAGTCTCTCAGGGACAAAGCCCCTTTGGTCTAAAAATCTGAAAGTTTTCAGATTTTATATTACGTCGAAAAAGGCATTTTTTAAAATTTTATTTTTTTTTATTATTATTTACGGATGGTCACTTTCAGCAAGAAAATGTGCCTTGTTGCCGATTAAATCTACCCCAAATTGGCTTGAAGAGCAAGATTTGGAATTTAAATTATTTCCATAGTCAGCTATGACTTCAGTCCCATTTAGCATTTCTAGGTAAAATAGTAATAATCCCTTCAAACACCACCATCCAATCTGAACGAAATTAGAGCTTCCATTACGACAGCAAGGTTTAGTATGCCTTAGGGTTGACATCAACACCTTGTTTCGTCCACCCTCAACGGGACATCGGTTGCGATCAAAGCTCAAGCTGGATCAATACATTATCAAGGGGGTGTCTCTAATATTTTGGCGACTTGGTGCATATGAATACTTCAGTTGTCATTCTTCATATCATTGGACTTCTTTGGAAGAATAAATATTGAGTTATCGTACTTAGGAACTGAATGATCTGTGTAATGTCCACACCTATAAATTTGAGGTTGAAATTTCTGAGTAAAACGTGTGGACATTCCATGAGCATATATGCATGATATGCAGATGACAGAGGCAGATTATGGTGCAAATAGAATAAACTAACGGACCCCCCCATGCCTAATAATTCTTCAAGCTGGTGGCTGTAGAATTATGGTTTGAAGAATATTTTCCTGCAATAATGTGGGTCGTTTATGGCTGTATAAAGCATCTGAAAGATCACTTCTCAGTCGACCCGTGGGTCTGGCACCTGGCACATCCTAAATTGTTCCAGTAGCCCGGGGTGGTATCCCGGGTAGTTGCCTGGGGGTGGCGCTCCGTGTTTTTGGGTAATCTCCTTGAGCAACAGGCAGCCCGTGTGACTGGCAGGTAGCAGATAGATGACAAGTGTCACCTTAAGGCACGTTCCCTCTGGTGTTCATCTGAGCAGGGTTCATAGCCACACTTTAGTTAAAAAAATAAGCACCTATAAGCACTTTTCAAGCACATTTTAAGGAAAAAATAAGCACCTGTCTAATTACATTATACACAACTGCATAACCTTAAAAGAAAAATTAGATTTGTAATTTAAAATATGAGCAATGCAATATTTATTACGAGAATGAGCATTACCTCAACAATGGAAAACAATAAACTTTTTTTTTTTTTTTTTTTTTTTTTTTTTTTTTTTTTTTTAATTTTAAATGACAGTTCAATTTACAGAATTAGTTTACAATGAGAGGAAAAAAAACTATGCAGAACTAAACTATATTACAAAATTTAATGATGATATTTCAGTTGAAAATATAGAAAATAAATAATAATAAGCCATAATAATTGTATTCGTTTAGCACCTAATAATAAATACAATTTATTTTTCCACTCATATTAATATTTAAATAATTTAACTTAAATCAAAATTCTGAACATTTTCTAAATTTTCATTCCATAACAGTTTTCCTTTAACATATATCCCAAACAAAGTAATTTAAGTAAAAAAGAGGCACATTTCTGAAATCAGAAGACGTGAAATTGCTTCATGCAGTCATTCTTTAACAGTAAAAGCTTAACTAACCCGCATAATCGGAAATGCCCAAATATTCCGGATAGTAACTGGAAAAAGAGGAGTGGGGGAGACTGTAGCCATTCTTTAGATTTAAATGTAGGCTAAATAAATGATTTTGACATTTCGATATGTGCATCATATAAAAACCAAAGGAACTGAGAAATATTCTGCTTAGAAAGCACAGTAAAACTCTTTTAAGTGTTCATAAACAAATCTCAGACTGAACATCAAAATTAATTATCAATGCAAAATACCGCAAACGTTATTGCGCAATACGTGCGGCGTAATTCTTCCATATGTGATATTACGCAATCGGAATCAACACCTGCCGGTATTCGGAGAATAAAGAACTAAATAAAGGAAAAGAAAGAGACTTACTAATCTGGGGTGTTTCTGATTCTAATTTTCAACAGACTGTATTAAATTTCCGGAATAGAATCAATCTTCGTTTGGGTTGGGTAGACCACAAAAACGTTTAGTCCTATTCAATCCAGATTGGACAGTGACAAAAAAAAAAGTCCGCTGCTTCAATATTAAGAGATTTTGCGGAGAAACTCCCAACCTCCATACTGTATAATGTATTGGCAAAGAAAATGAAATTATTTTGACTATTCGATTACTTTCCTTTTATTTAAACCATTCCGAATATTATTCCTTAGAAAGCTAATCTGTGTAAAAACACACCCATTTTTGGAAGTTTATCTATACTTCAGCAGTTACTGCAACTATATTATTATAAATATTCATACATATGCTCATAATATAAGCATAACGATCACAATAAACACGCGAATATAAACTGACCACGCGGAACGAGAATGGAAATTATTAAAATCTTGATAGAAATTCAAACGTGTGTAGTATTTGGGTGGGAGGAAAAGAATACCGAATGTACCGGAATTTTCTACCGTTTTTGCAATTCTTTGACCAATAGAACGACGTGCACCTGTCTGTACTCTTGCGCGCACCACAGGTTACGTTAATGCAGAGGAACGGGGGAAAAGCAATTTCCGGGAGTATGATTCACCATCTGACGTTGCATATAAGGAAGAAAAGTTGTTTATTTAGTTTCGTCTTAGGTACGGGGAAAAAATGCGCGTTCATTAAAAACAAAGGATTAAAAAAAAAGCAGCAAAAACAAAAACAAATAAGGGCTTTAAAGAAAAAGTAAGCACCTATAAGGGCCTTTATATTTGATTTTCAAATATAAGGACTTATAAGCACTTGTAAGGACCGCTACGAATCCTGTCTGAGGTAACGGAGAAACTGACTTAGCCGACCCATCTTCAAAACCAGTTTTGTTGAAAAATCTGAACTGCAGACATAGCGAAGCTAGTCGACACATGGAACTGACCGCAGCTCAGATAAACCCTAGTGGGAACGGCCCTTTATGGTGATGGTGCCAATCCTGTTCAATGTGCGAGGGCAGGGGTTGAACCACTGGGCCTGGTTCGGCGGTTGGATTGGGCACGTAGTGTTTAGTCTGAAGTAAAGTGGAATGCCCAATATCTTACTTTAGCATGACGAATTATTACAGTCAAAAGTCGTTAATCCGGACTCGTCGGGACTTCGGCGATTCCGGATTATAGATCATCAGTTTAAATCTGGTAAGATGGCATTCCGAAATTCTAAAATTAAAAATATGAAACCGTAATTTATGAAATAAAGAGCAATTATGATCTAAAGGGTATCACAATTTACAAAAAAAAAAAGCTTAATATTTATTTGTTTACTTTATTAAACAGTTCTCTCAATGTAAGTTGTTTAAGTTGCTTCATTTTATGTGATAATACTTTCTCTTTAATTCTATAAAAAGACATAATTTCTTGTTCAGTTACAAAGTTCCGCTGTTCAAGGCCCGTTAATTGCTGTGCCGAGAATACCGAGTAACTTATCAATCGAAATTTTTTCGTTTTCACTAACCTCTCTGTCACATTCTTCATGTCTTCATCCATTTTTTGAAGCAATTCCACTTTTTGTTTGTTGGACATCGAAACATACTTTCATTTTGTAGATCCTTTGGAAGTTCCAGCATCGGAAATTCTATTTGACATAATCGAAAGTTCAAGTTTACTTTTATAAAATTGCTCTCTGCAAAAAATAATAAGCGGGATCCAATTCGAAGATTAAGGAACAACGCAATCATTAACATTAACTGAAATAGATAATTAGATAATTTTAGCTTACACCGTCCGTTATACATTAAACGCGCAGGCGAAAACGTATTCTGCACTTGCGCACACGCATATGCGCAGTAGTCAAGGTCTTACGCGCACGCGTAAAACGCCTGTGTGCATGTGCCGACGCGGCGCATGCGCAGAAAGTTTTTAGCTTTGAGGTCCGGATTATAGATCATTCCGGATTATGGGTGTCCGAATTAACGACTTTTGACTGTATATGTATTAATTCGAAATCACCTAGGGGTAGGATCCTAGACACAGGCACTCTGGTGGTACACCACTTTCTCCCGCATACATGACGAATCATGACATACTCAAGGTGATAATGATATAGCCAGATTCAAAATTAAATACAAAAGCAACAAAATTTACTACTACTGTTTACTATTTTTATTCTGAAATACTTCTGTTTTTTTTTAATTTGAAAACGTTAAAAGACTTTTTTTTTTTTTCCAATTCTTTCCCCCTTTCCGAAAAATGAAAGCGTCATGACTTGCCATGGCTGAAAAAAATCTTTCTTAACACTGCAGAGAGGAAAACGTTCTAGGTTATCCTAAGAATTATGCACATTTAACCACCATTTCGTGCAACTTAATTTATAAAGAACAGAAAATTGATGGCAACTTACATCTTCCACCATATATTTGAAGAGAGAAGCGAAGGCGTCGAAGCCGACGGTCACGTGCTTAGTTTCCATTTTCAAACGGTTCAACTCTTTTGTTCGGGCTTCACACAGGTTCCCAAGGCGTTGAATTTCTTGAGTGAGTTCAGCTTTGCTCAACCACATGGGGGGCCTCGACGGCTTCGTTGCCGGATGCAGGCCTCCTCGAGGCCCGGTTTGTTCTATTCAAAGACAAAACATGATTCTTCAGTTAAAGATTGGCGTAAAAGTTTATTTTAAATAATATAGTGATAGTCATTAATTATAAATACATAAGATACAAAGATAACTTCCATCGTATTCAATCAAAAATAAATAAGTACAATTAAAAATAAACAGAAGACTATGTATACTACGCAAAAAAAAAGGACAGTTCGATATCTCCCGTTCTACTGGGCCGACTGACGAAATTCAGCTTCCGTTTTTAATGTCTCAAAAGCGCGACTTAGGATATGTATTAGATTTATATATAGCACTGTTCAAACCACACCAAACCTCACGAATATTTCAATACTCCGAATTCAGCTCTGAAATAATAACTGAGAGCAGATACTCTTTCCAGTCTTGTATAGTTTTCAACCGGCCGCCGAGAAATCTCTAGTACCTTCAATTTCTCTGTATCTAAAGGCCAGACACGGTTACCGTTACGTACAGGGATCAATTACCTTTATTTAATTACAGCATCAATTAGTTATACAGGCACGGGACCGAAATGTCACCAGATGGTTAGCAAGTTTGGCGACTTTTAGTGTTTTCTCACCCAATTTGGCGACAAAAATCAGTCGCCAACCTTGGCGATATCTCGGCAACTTAGATAATAGACTTGTTTCTGTATTCTTATTTTTCTGGCAAAGCTTCGTCTCTTTCAAGCTTGATAAAATTATACAGAAAATTACTAAATTACTACTACATTTTACATTGTACAGAAAATTACTAAAATTTCACCACAATTACTTACTTATATAGAAAATTCGTAACAGTATTTTATAATGCCGATTATGAAAAAAAAAAAAAAAATTCTCAGTCTAATTGCATTTTACCGAAACAGAACTTCCTATAAATATTAATTAATATTCTATGCAAATATATATTTGATTGCCTTTCTCATCTTGAACATACTCTGTCCCCATCATTTTGGTCTTTTTGAAGTTTTGGAGCAGCAATACAACCTCAAAAAACAGAGTGCATCTTTTTCGCTAAGCAATATAAAGTAGAGAAAATATGATGTCTGAAAGTAATAGCTCTATTCCTTGAACTACGACTTTACGTAAAAGAGTTGTGTTGCATTTTGTGCAAAATAGTATGCGCAAACACCAACATAATATTTAAATAATTCTAGCCTAAAAGAAAGACATGGATTATTATATTTTTAATTCTGGAAATTAAAAATGTAATTTCTGAATCTCATTATTACATCTTCAGAAAAGTATACCATCCATCTCTCGACATCAAACCAGACCTGAAGAAAAACTTCGTAAATGCAATGGGTAAGAAAAGGAATAGTTTTTGTTTTCAAGAGTTGGCAACACTAAATTTAAGGACGGCACGACTGTTGATTTTGAAGTACCGGAAATAATAAATGAGTAATTCCGGAACTGATATAAAACTGATTCTGAGAGATGGAAAATGATTAAGAAACAAATTTAGATTCTTATATAACTAATAGCAGAAGTTTACAAAAACCTAATCAAGAGTTTCTAGAAAGATACAAAGCATTAAGGCGTACTGAATTGATTAAGATTCATTTTCTGGATTCCAGCTTAGTTGCTTCTCCAGAAGTCGTTATATTATGAATACGGAAAGCATTTCCATCAAGATGTATACATAACTGAAGCATATCACTAAAGGACAATACAATTATTTAAAAAGGGATATACCAGAAGAAACATATTGAAAAATGAAGACCATAATTGCATTAATATTGGAGCAATTGTCTCCAATATTAATGACTAAAATATGTAAATAAAATAAATAAAATTTATTATATATATTTATATATAATAATATATTTTAGTAAAAATAAAAATTCGGTTAAAAAGAAGTTGGATAAGAAAAATTATTAACTGAATTTCGAATAAAAAATAAAGTTCACGTTGAGCTTTTTACAACAAACAAACAGCCCCCCCCCCAAAAAAAAAAAAGATTTTCAGATTTTACATTACGTCCAAAGGTTTTTTTTTTAATGTTTTGTGTGTTACCGTTATTTATTAAATATCATGTTCTTCGCACTTAAACCATAAAATTCAATTCAACAGCAATATCGCTTTTTTTTTTTTTTTTTTTTTTTTTTTTTTTTTTTTTTTTTTTTTTAATGAGCAAAGCTTAAAAATTTCCGTTACACAGTCTCGCGCGCTGGAGATATATATTTGGTACAGTGTTACAATGTTTTTGTTACAACGCTTTGAAAGCGTTGAGTTTCTTAATCAATAATTCGTTTAAGTGTTACAAAATATGAAATCGATAATAAAACAAATTCTAAATTCCAAATTTGGTCTTCCAAATGCCCATATTCGAAGGGGGGATTACGTTATTCAAACTTGAATGGCTCTAGGTACCGTTGTTTTATCACAATGCGAGGAAACATATATACGTTTATGCAGATTCTTCATTATTTAATTTCTTTAAATATAACACAGGGCGACAATATTTGGTGGCAACAATTTGAAAAGTGAAACGGACATTTAAAGTTTTCAACGCAAAATGGCAAAACGAAATTAATAGCGCTTCTGAGTCCTATGGGCTAAAAAAGTCAATTCCATTATTTAGTGTGATATGTGACAAGCATTTTATTCCTTGAGTTTGAAATGGAGGACATGTAGTTCAAATCATAATTCTCATGGAAATCTGCTAATTCAGTGCTGTAGAAATACTTCTTTCCACCAACCAGTTTTATATAATTTGTAACAAATGTCTTGGCTTAAAGATAAAACACGGCTTTAAGATGAAAACATCTCTTTAAGATAAAAACTGGGTTTAAGATAATAAATGGCTGAAAGATAAAAAACTAGCAAAGTTATTTCTTTATTTACTACTAATTTAGTAACATTGCTCACACTGCTCTTTTTTTTATTATTATTATTAATAAACGTAATTCTGAAACAGCTCCAGACTTTTTGACAGGTGGCCAACAAGGCGAAATCGTTTGATGGATGCGAGTGAAATAATAGGTGATAACGTATATATAAAGATCTGATGCTAATTCAGTTTCATCCAACTTTTCAATTCCCTCGAAACAGCTGGGAAGTTGATGTATTCTGGGGATTAAGAAGGGGAAAAAAACTCTTATTTGGCTGCAAACCAAAAAAGCAAAAGAAATCGGAACAAAAAGTGAATAGCACCTGCCAACTTCAATGTAATAGGAAGGATGACACAAGAAAACAACATTTTGATGTGCTGAACTCCATAATTCAGAGGTGTGTAAGGGACAGAGAAGTTTGTTTTTCTCGAAAATGGAATCTTAAGTCCCAAAGAAAAAAAAAAAAAAAAAAAAGAGAGAGAGAGAGAGACTTAAAACTCCTAGAAAAGTTGTAAGTATTTAAAGAATTGTTTGGCTCATCTAAACAAGGGACGAACAACTTACAGTTCCACTCTGTTCACGTCGCCCACCTTTGACCTGAATTTAAATTTTCCAAAAATAAACTATAAAAAATAAATTATCTTCAATTGGTAACAGAAAAGAAAACGACAAAAAAATTAGTAGACAAAAATCAACATCTGAAGCCAATTTTAGAGGTACACTGCGGAAGGAAGGGAAAAGAAAAAAAAAAAAAAAAAAAAACACCGAAATGTTTCAGATTTTAAATTACATCCAAAGGGGAGTTTTTTTAACATTTTGTCTGTTACATTTATTTATTAAATACCATGTTCTTTGCACTCAAAACTTAAAATTTGGTTCAAATATATCGCAAAATAGTTTTAAATTGGGCATATCTTTAGAATTTCCAATACAGAAACACGCGCTGGAAATAATTTTTTTTTTTTTTCCTGTACAACGTTGCCATGGCTCGCTTTGAAATCCTTGAGTTTGTTAATAAAAAATTCCTTAAAGTTTTACAAAATAGGAAACCCATAATAAAACAAATTCCAAATTTCAAATTTGGTCTTCCTCGTGCCCATATTTGTAGGAGGATTACGTCATTCAAAATTCGATGGCTCGATGTATCGTTGTTTTATCACAATGCGAGAAATATATACATTTATTAATTATATCATTATTTAATTTCTTTCTTTAAATATAACACAGGGCGTTATTACTTTGTGGCAACAGTTTGAAAAGTGTTTCGCCGTTTGTAGAGAATCGATGCAAAACAAAAACAATAGTCCTTCAGGGGCAAAGCCCCTTTGGGCCAAAAAAAAGGGGGGGCTGTTCTATATCTCCCGTTCTATTGGGCAGATTGACGAAATTCAAGTTGCGTTTTTCATGTCTCAAAAGCGCGACTCAGGATATGTATTAGATTTATAATATAATATAGGTATTTTGATACAAAATCTGACTTTTTCTGAAATAACATGCCATGTCAGTTTTTCCCTTATTTCAATTCTACGACTCAAATTAGGCCTAGATATTAAATTTCGTAAAATTTGGTGCGAAATTTACGGAGAAATTCACAAATTTATCTTGGCGCGTTTTTTTCAGTTTGTCCCGATAATACTTGGCGAACTTCTTAATTTATAGTAACGGAGTTTCCTTCCATTTTTTCATTGTAGACGAGTCAAAAAAAGTCATCGTTCATACTTTCAAATAATTTTAACTAAGGGCGTAAACCACATTTGAAATTATTATCGCTCAAAAAAAAAAAAAAAAAATGCCAAATTTTAAAACGCGCCAATATGTAAATTCAGGTATATCTTACAAAATTTTGAATAACAAACTTTAATTATTTTGCAGGTATGCTAAGAAATATATTTACTTTAAGATTAAGGTAAAAATTTTATAGGTAAAATTTATAGATTAAGGTAAAAATTTATATTTTTATTTTTTTGTATATAAAATTTTTTATATACAAAAAAAATTGCACACGAAGGCCAATTTCAAGAAGTTTTAAATTTTTAACTTAAAAAATTGCACCTAAACTGAAGAACTAAATTTTAGATTGCACAAAGACACAAGAACAAAGACGTTGTAACGTATTTGCGTTGTACGCTACCAACATAATTCCACTAAGAAATGTAAATTACCGCA